TGCACTGGTCCGGTCCTGCAGGTAGCAAACCAGGGAAGCCAAGGCTGCGACGAAACTCCAGCTAGCTACAAGTATCAAGCACAATAAAAAGTCCTTTTTCAGATATGTGGGGAGCCAGAGGAAAACTAAGGGCAACATCAGACCCCAGCTAAACCAGATGGGACAACTGACAACTGATGCCCAGGAAAAAGCCGACCTATTAAATGGGTACTTTGCATCGGTCTTTCATCAGTCCCACAGGACACCCATGCCCATTGTGGGACAGGCAGGCTCAGGTGAGGGAGATTCCCTCACACACAAGACAGCCTTGGTGTGAACATGAGTATGATGTATTGGGCGGGGCAGCGGCTGGGACTGTTGCAAACTGTGATTGATTTTCAAACCCCTCCGCCCCAAGCTGCACCATGCTTCGCCCCACCCTTCCTTGGGCTCCCCCCATGCTCCCTCCTACAGTGATGGGCAGGAGGCCGGCCCATTCAGCATGGGCAGCGAGACCCAATCAGCCGCCACACATGTTCCACCCGCCCCAACCCCTTTTTCTGAGGGAGCCCACCCTAACTGACAGGGCCCAGGTGGGGGGGATTCCCTGCCCTCCATCAATGCTGACCTTGTGAAGGAACACCTTGAGAGGCTGGACACCTTCAAGTCAGCTGGCCCTGACAATCTACACCCCAGGGTACTCAAGGAGCTGGCAAGCATCATAGCCAGTCTGTTAATGTCAGGTGCTGGGCTATTTTGTTCAACATCTTCGTTAATGATGTGGACATTGGAGTCAGAAGTGGACTGGCCAAGTTCGCCGATGATACCAAACTCTGGGGTACAGCACTCGCACCTGAGGACAGGAGGGCGATCCAGGCTGACCTTGATAGGCTCATGAAATGGGCAGACAAGAACCTGATGATGTTTAACACTGAAAAATGTAAGATTCTCCACCTTGGGAGGAAAAACCCGCAGCATGCTTATAGGCTCAGCAGTGCTACACTGACTCGCACTACGGATGAAAGGGACTTGGGGGACATGATTGTCCACAAGATGAACATGAGCCTTCAGTGCAATGCTGTGGCTAGTAAAGTGAGCAAAATGCTGCCTTGCATCCATAGATGCTTCTCAAGCAAATCCCGGGACGTCATTCTTCCATTATACTCAACCTTGGTGAGGCCGCAGCTGGAGTACTGCATCCAGCTTTGGGCTCCACAATTCAAAAAGGATGTGGAGAAGCTTGAGAGAGTCCAGAGAAGAGCCATGTGCATGATCAGAGGTCAGGAAAACAGACCTTACGACGACAGGCTGAGGCTTCAGCCTGAAAAAGCACAGGCTCAGGGGTGATCTGGTGGCCACCTATAAGTTCATCAGGGGTGCCTACCAGGATTTGGGGGGAAAGTCTGTTCACCAGAGCACCCCAAAGGATGACAAGGTCAAATGATCACAAACTCCTCCATAACCGTTTCAGGCTGGACATATGGAAGAACTTCTTTACTGTCCAAGCCCCCAAGGTCTGGAATAGACTGCCGCCGGAGGTAGTTCAAGCACCTACATTGAACACCTTCAAGAGAAATTTGGATGCTTATCTTGCTGGGATCCTATGACCCCAGCTGACTTCCTGCCCCTGGGGCAGGGGTTGGACTTGATGATCTTCCAAGGTCCCTTCCAGCCCTAATGTCTATGAAATCTATGAAGGCTGTCTCATGTCCATGCTCACACCAAGGCAGCCCCAGGATCTGAACACACTATGCTCATGCTCACATTCATGCCAAGGTCATCTCATGTTCACGCTCACACCAAAGCAGCCACAGGATCCCAACATGCCATGCTCACACCAAGGCTGTCATATGTCCACACTCATGCCAAGGTGGCCCTGGGACTCCTGTGTTATGCTCATGCCACAGCCCTCCTGGATCCACACTCATGCTGGGACCCCCAACATGTCACACAAACCAAGCTGGCCTTGTGAGCCCTAACATGTCACAGTCATGCCACCACCCTCCTGTGTCCATGTTCATGGGGCTACCCACAACACACCACACTCATACTCACACCAAGGTGGCCCAGAACCCCCAACACATCACGCTCACACCATGGGCTTCATTCTATGCTTATGCCAAGAGAGCCTCAGGAGCCTCAATACATCATGTCAAAGCAGTTTTGTGATCTCCATGTTGCACTCATGCCACAGCCCTCCCTCCCCCCCGCTCATACCAGGACCCCCAAAACATCACACTCACACCAACGTGGCACTGGGACCCCAAAACATCATGCTCACTTCAAAGTCATCTCATATCCATGCTTACATCCAGACCTGGACACATGCATGGGTGAACCGGGTGGCCACCTAGGGCCCGGATAGAAAGGAAGCCTGAAAATTAAAACAAAATTACAATTGCAAAAAAAGTTTTAATGCACATATACAGGATTGGCAATATTATCAACTGAGAACAAACTATTTAAAGACATCGATACCACAGACGTGATAAAGACCTTTGCAACAAGTCCGATTATTATTATCATTATTTCTGGCGAAGGGGGACCTGATACTCAAAGTTTGCCTAGGGCCACCAGGAGCCTAGATACAGCACTGCTTACACCAAGGTGGCCCTGTGACTCCTAATATTTCATGCCTGTGCTACAGTTGTCTCATGTCCAGACCCATGCCAAAGCAGTGCATGGAGCTCTACACGTCACTGTCACGCCACACCCATCTAATTTCTGTGCTCACACCAAAACAGCCTCATGACTCCCAACATGTCACACTCATACTAAGGGAGCTCTAGGACCAACAGCACATCACACTTGTGCCAAGGCAGCGCCACGTCTACACTGACACTATGGAGCCCCGTGAGTTTGCCAACATGTAACAGTCACCCCAAGGTGGCCCTACATCCACACTCAGACCAAAATGTCCCCTGACTCCCAACATGTCACACACACGCCAAGGCTGTCTCCTGTTCACACTCATACTAAGGCGCACCCCCCCCAACACATCACAATCACACCAAGATGCTCCCATGACCCCCAGCATGTCACATGCTAAGGCCACCCTATGCCTATGCTCATGGCAAGACTAACCCAATGACCTCCAATATGGCCACCCTCATGCCAAGCCCCCTTGCCCCCCAGCATTTCCCATGCTGTCCCATGACCACACAAAGCCATCCCATGCCCAGGCCACGCAGCTTTTGGCCACCATGACCATGGGTCAAGCCCAGCCTGCCAGCAGCCATCTTCTGCAGGCCACATTGAAACCATCCCTCTGCTCAGGGGGAGCTTTGCCCAGGAGGAGGGGAGCCTGGGTTCTCTCCTTGCTGGGAGCAGCTAGAACAGGAAGGGGGGGGAAGGGCAGGGAGGGTGGCTACCCAGACCCCTGGGTTCTCTCCCAGTTTGGAGAAGCAAGGAATGGCACCCCCCGCACACACACACTTCCCAGAACACCCCCAGGCAGCCACTGCCCACATCCTGGGCACCTGAACCTGGGAGAGGGGTTGAACCCCTCCTATTGGTGAGGCGTTCATTAATTGCTGGGGACCAGCTGTACAGAGGTGAAGGAATCCACAAGTGCCCCTCACTCCCAACCCACAGACCCCTCTCCCACCAATGCCCCTCACTCTGGTCCTGAAGTCTACCAGCCTTGTTGGTGCCCATCACTCCCTCCCCACAGCCCCCTCCACCATACACCCGCCCCGCTAATCCTTGTTAGTGCCCAAAATAGCCATAATCCTCCCTTGTCAAGGTGATTCCCCCCCCCACACACACTTCCTCTGTGCCCTCAAGCTGCTAATGGGATTACTTGGGGGGTGGGGGAGCAGGAGAGGGGGGTGCCTGCACGTGTGTGTGCATGTGCATGAAAGCTGCTCCCAGCTGGAGGTCTTCCCCTGATCCCCCTCCTCCCTTTTCGTCCTGCAAAGGATTCTGGGAGATGTAGTTTACCCCCAATCCATGGTGAGAAGATTTGTGGTCTCTAGGCGCCACCTAGGGGCCCCCTGTGGGGTCTGCAAGGCCCTGCGTTGCTGTGGATGGGTGCGGGGGACAAGGACAGACAGACTGATGAGCTGGGGCCTAATCTAGCCCCCACAAAATCTAGTGTGGGGGGACAGGCAGGCCCCTCACTTCATTCCCCTCGGCCTCACCCCAACAAAGGGAATGTCAGGGGTGATGAGGTGGGGGTTGGGAGTGAGTGGCATGGGACCTTGGGGGAGCTGGTCAGGAGTGAGGGGCATCAGAATCTGGGGGGGAGGGGGAGCACTATGGTTTGGGAGTGAAGGGCACCACGGGGGCCAGGGGGGCTGCACGTTGGGAAAGAGGGGCACCAGCCTGTCCCAGGGGTCCATGAGGCCCCCTCCCTCTCCTTCCCTCATCCTAGGTCTTAATCAGAGCTTGGGCGATTAGCAGGCAGGAAAGCAGCTTGGGGGGGCTCAGGGCAGGGGGCCATGCCCCGCCCGGATAAGCCTGGCTCAGCCCCGCTTTGGGGCCTTACTAGAGATTAACCCCTGACCCCCCAGGGGTTGGGGGAGTAACATGGGGGGGGTCAGGCTGTCCCTCCCCCCTGGACACCCTCCTGCCCCTCACGCCTATAAGAGGCCCCTGGTCCCAGCCCCACTAGGGGCTCTGGGAGTGCGCAAGACCCCACGGCTGCCACCCCCTGCTCTCCAGTCTCCCTTCCCCAGCCTTGCCTGTGCCCCAGTTATCTGCCCATCCATTTGCCTGCTCATCCATCCAGCCATCTATTTACCTACCTATCCAGCTATCTGTCCATTTCTCCATCCATCTACCCATCTATCTACCTATCAGTCTCTGTCCATCCATCCATTTATCTACCCATCAGTCTATCCACCCATCCATCTATTTACCTACCTATTTATCTACCTACGTGTCTATCTACCTATTTACTTGTCTGTCCATCTTTCTGCCTATTAATCTACATACCTAATTGATCCAGCCATCCATTTATTCCTGTATCTATCCACCCACCCTCACCCCTTCCTTCTTTCTCTCACCCTTCTGTGGTTATGGCTCCGAGTGAAGTGAGCTGGGCAGAGCTGCCTGATGACTTCTATCTGCCACCGGCAGTGGCTGGCCCCAACATCACGGCCCGCAGCCCCTTCCTGGTGCCACAGACGCACCTGGCTGGGCCAGGGCTCTTCCTGGCCATGGCAACCTTCATGGGGCTGCTTGTGATGTTGGGTGTCCCACTCAACACCCTCACCATACTCTGTGGTGCCCGCTACCGCAAGCTGCGCTCGCCCCTCAACTACATCCTGGTCAACCTGGCTGGCGCCAACCTGCTGGTGGCTGGCGTGGGCTCCACCACGGCTACCTACAGCTTCGCCCACATGTACTTCTCCCTGGGCCCTGCTGCCTGCAAAGCTGAGGGCTTCACCGCCACCCTTGGGGGTATGTGGGGGCTGTGGTTCAGAAGTGAGGGGAACCACCAGGGTATGGGGAGGGCTGCAGGTTGGAAGTAAGGGGCACTGCAGGGGGCGGGGGATCAGTGAGGGGAACTGTAGGGATGGGCTGCAGGTCTGAAGTGAGGGGCACCCTGGGGTGAATGGAGGGTTATGGGTCAGTGAGTGGCACCATAGGGATAGGGGTTTGTGGATCTGGAATGAAGGGCACCACAGGGTGATGGGGGGCTGTGGTTTGGGAATGAGGGGCACCATTTTGTGATGAGGGGGTTGTGTGTCAGGAGTGAGGGCACTGTGGGGTGATGGAGCTGTGGGTCAGGAGGGAGAAGCACCATGGGGTGATGGGGGCTGTGGGTCAGGAGGGAGGGGCACTGTGGGGTTGGGACAGGACTACATAGTGTAAGTGAGGAGCACAGGGAGCTTTGGGTATAAAGGAGCTTTGGGTCTGGAATGAGCACAGGAAGGGCCTGGGCCAACCCATTGTTGCAGGGGATAGGGGGCTGCAGTGCCCCAGACCAGCCCCCTGCCCTCTCCCAGCCCTATGGGGGCTGTGGGTCAGGAGGGAGGGGCACTGTGGGGTTGGGACAGGACTACATAGTGTAAGTGAGGAGCACAGGGAGCTTTGGGTATAAAGGAGCTTTGGGTCTGGAATGAGCACAGGAAGGGCCTGGGCCAACCCATTGTTGCAGGGGATAGGGGGCTGCAGTGCCCCAGACCAGCCCCCTGCCCTCTCCCAGCCCTATCTCAGCCCCCCCCCC